TTTCTTTTTTGAGAGTTTTTTTTTTTTTCCTTGAGGGATTTTTTTTTTTGCTATAGGGTGCATACACTCGCCAGACAGAGACAATAAGCCAGAATCACCACCCAGGGGGATGACCATGCTACAATCCCTTCTCCTCCATTCTCTCAGAATCTTGGGCATGCACACGCGCACATGCGCTCGGCATGTTTTAAGTCGCTGGGTCCAGAACTTGAACCACAGTCAACTACGTGGGAGTGCAGAGATATAACCATTCCGCCATCTGCTGGTCTCAGCCTGGCATGACATTTCAGGCCACCAGGTCCAGGACTTGTGCTCAGCCACACAGGAGCCCAACGCCTTGACCGCCACGCAACCTGCTGACTCTTCTCCTCCCCCCACTCCTCCTTTTTCTGCCTTTCTTTCCCCCAGAGGGTGTGTACACTTGCCAGAGAGAGACAGAAAGATTGCGAGATAGAGAAAGGGGGAAGCACCCCTTAGCTGGGTGTAGTCTCATCACAATCTCTTCTCCATTTCTCCACCTTTTTTGGGATTTTGAACATGCATGTGTGTATATTCACTCTTTTTGTTTGTTTTTGTTAGGTTTTTAAGATAGGGCACATGAGCTCGGTGGCATGTGCGGTCACCAGAAAGACAGAGAGAGAGACAGAAAGCGAGAAATCACCCTCTGGGGGGATGGCCATGCTGCAATCCCTTCTCCTCCATTCTCCTCTTGGGATCTTGTGCCCTCCATCTCTGCTGCATCCTCCACACCTCTCTCTTCTTCCATGACCCGAGGCTGGTAATGGCTTCTTTGTTGTCCTCTGCATCATCTGTGGGCTAGTCTGGTGAATCGCAGTGAACTACATGATGAGGTCCTTGTTTTAATGGGTATATTTTTTTTTTTTTAAAGATTTTTACCAGAAGGTGTGGGCATTTGCATGGGTTGGGGAGGAACAAAGAGAGAGGGAAAATAAGAAATCATGGGGGGAGTTGGAGGAAAGCCATGCTGTCATCCCTTCTCCTTCATTCTCCTCGTGGGGTTTTGGGTATGTACGTACACACACACGTGCACGCGCACACCTGGCATGATTTTCAAGCAGGTGGGTCCAGGATTTGAACTGGAGTTGACCATGTGAGAGTTCAGTATCTTAACCATTACATTATCTGCTGGCCCCATATGGGAATATTTTTATTATGTTTGTCTTACAGGTTTTTTTTTTATGTGTATGATAGATTAAATGAAATAATGGAAGTGATTAGCAAAGTGACTAGAGTAAAAGTTGGCAGTTTAAATGTTTATATACATGTACACACCTACATAGTACACATTTATGTACACAAATGCTTAGATGGGACATTGATCATTATTTCTGCTGTGCCTTCTTTCACCCCGCTCTCTTCTCACCCTTCACCCCCCACTTTCTCTCGAAGAGCTCACACTTTAACCTCTAATTGTTCCAACGACTTGGTTGGCTTTCTGCTCAAGCGCGGCTGGGATGCCGCCAGTAGGGGGCAAGAGTCACCCAGGCGAGCTTATTACCTAAGCAACGGAGTCAAACAGCCTTTTCAGAATGACTTTACAAACGGGTTATCAGGCAGTTAAAATGTCTGTTCTGTCTTAGGTTGCTTAACAAACAACAGTAATAATTAAAAGATGAAAATAAGTGAGAGGCATTAGGGACAGCAATGATCCTGCAGTAATAATTAACGGAGAGCAAGCAGGTACGCCCAGGTTACCGGGTGGGTATGAAGTGGGTCCAACTGTGCTCACAACCCTCGGGATTCGATAATGGGGCGCACGAGCCGAGGGGATCTGGGCTACTGGCGGTTTGACACTGAACGAAGTGCTCTGAGCGAGCCTAACAAGCAATGAATATGCGAATTTAGTTTTCCTAGGACTGACTAGGTAACGAAGCGCTTTTCAAAGCGACCGGAATGCCACTAGGTAACTTGCTGGGTCGTAGCTACCACCGAAAGGGGTCTCTGAAAATAGCTCCGGCCCCTCCTAGCCCGACTTTGAAAGCAGGTGTGGGACGCATGCGCGCGCCCACCGGCTGACCTCCTGGCGGCATCCCAGAGCGCCGACCTTCTTCCCGACAGGCCGCGAGGCAAAGAGGGAGGGGCAACGGAAACCTCGCGAGCTTTCGTAGGGCGCCGGCGGAAACAGCGCACACGTGACTCTCCTAGGCGGCCTTCGCTTTCCCCCTCCCCCTTCTCGGAAACCCGGCCCCCTCACCCCTCGCCCACCCCAGAGCCGCGGTAATGGACTGTTTGGGTTCCGGAATTCCCTTGGATCCAACCACTGGTACCGGGCCTGGGGGAGTCGGCGGAGCCCG